AAGCTCCATATCACCAAACACCTACTAAATAGGCTTACCAACCTCCCACTGCCCAAAATGACACTCACTCCTCCCAACAGCTCTTGTTCTGTTGAGGGCACCCCACCACCCTTTTCATCACCCAGGTTCACAAGCCTGGAGTCACCCACAACTCCTGATTCTCCCCCACCCTCCATTCCTCATGTCTTGCGATAGCTGTCACTACAATGTCTCTGACACCTGCCCCCTCTCCTCCACTCACAGGCACACTGCCCTCGCTCACTCCCTCATCTCCTCTCCTAGACCCTTCTTTGTGTCTCCAGTATCTTCCTGGTCTCATCCATACTCCAAATGACCAAAATAATCCTCCTAAAGCAGTCAGTCAGTCAGTCAATCAATAGGCATATATTAAGCACTCACAGAGTAGTTCTAGCAGTGAACAGTTCCTGTTCTCAAGTAGCTTACATTCTATTGGGGGATGCCGCAGTCAGTCATACCTAAGTACAGAATAATACAAAATGAGTAGAGGCTAGTTTTGGGAGGGAGGACACCAGCAGAATCTGAGCTGAGTCTTGAAAGAAGCGGAGCTTCTCCCAGGAGGAGAAATCTGGCCACTTTCACAGCCTTGGTCTACAAGCTTCTGAAGCTTCTGTGGCTTCCTGCTGCCCGTCCTCAGCCTGGCACCAAAAGCCCTTCCTAGGTTGGCTCCTGGCAACCCTGGTGAACTGCTTTGACATCACCGATCTTGAGAGCACATCCCCAACAAATGACCTGCTGGCTGCTCCCAGAGCTCTGTACTCCATCCCCCTACCTCCAGGGGGCTGCTCAAAGTCCCCACCACTTTGGCCCCTAGCTTCCTTCCCAGCTCAGCTCTGGGACCTCCTCCTACAGGAAGTCTTTCCTGATTCCTCTTCTCTCTTCTTCCTCAAATCACTGCGTGTACATGTAACAGAACAAGCGCCTTCAGCACAGGAGCTGGTACTTAATAAATGCTTGGGGCACTGACTCCCAGGCCTGGAGAACTTGTCACTAGTGCTCTGCAGGCCCTGCCACGAGCATGACACAGAAGGGCGTGATGGTGGCCTCCCCGCCCGCTGGCTCCTCCCCACAGAGGGTCCCCAGGTCACCCAAGTCATCAAAGGCACTGGGCTCCTCATGACTGGGCCCCAGGACCAGCTTGACTTCCTCGCAGCCCCTTGGCCTCAGTCTGAAACATCAGGCAGACAGAAAACACTGGACCCGGGAAGGCAGACTTGGAAAACGCTAGCGTTGTCACTTCTCTGAGCACTCCCTCCATTTCATCTTTATCTTTTTTCTATCAGGACACAAACCATCACAGCACATTCTGTGTAAACCTGATGTTAAATGGGCCACTGGGAGCCTGCAGCGAGCTTGGATTTCAAACGTCAGCCTCGACCAGCTGACAAATCAGGCAAAGAACAAATTAATAGCGAAGCAAGAAACAGAAAACAGTTGCATGTGGAGTCAGAAGGACCTGGGTTCAAATTCCGCCTTAAACAGTAACTTACTGGGTGGCTATGGGCAAATCACTTAATGGCTCTAGGCCTCTGTTTCCTCATCTGAAAAATGGGGATAACAGCAACTACACCGCAGCTTCTCAGATCTCCTTGTCCAGCCCTGGCCTCTCATAAGCTCCAAACTTGTATCTTGCCAACTGGCCATCTCCAAAAAGATGATCCGTAGACATCTTAAGCCAACGTGTCCAAAAGTGACCTCATGATCTTTCCCCCAAAACTCTGTCTTACTGCGGAGGGCCCCCATCCTCCCAGTGGCCCAGGCTCCCAAGCTCCCAAGCTCGGTGTCATCCTCAAACCCTCCCTCTCACCTCCCATACCCTGGGGCCAGGTCCTATTGATTCTGCCTTCCTAACATCCCTCAGACACTGCCTCACCCTGGTTCAGGCCCTCATCATCTCACTCTTGGACAACTGCACTAACCTTCTGGCCTGTCTCCCAGACTCTCTGTCCCCACTCCTGTCCATCCTCCACTCAGGCTGCCGAAGTAACCTTGAAGTGCAAGCCTGCCCATGCCACCCACCCTTCTCGTATCCGGTCAATTCCACAGTCCGTCCATCCCCCACCCCACCCCCATCTTCTCCAGGATCAAATACAAATTGCTGTTTGGCATTCAGAGTCCTGTACAACCCTGCCCCCTCCCACCTTTCCAGTCTTGTCGCACCTCACTCTCTCACTCTCTCTCTCTCTCTCTCTCTCTCTCTCTCTCTCTCTCTCTCTGCCCCCCAGGCCTGCAAGACTCCCACTGCCACCTCCTGTTTCCCTTCAACTCCCTGCTAAGATCCACCTTCTCCAGGAAGCCTCTATGGGTCTCCATTAATGTTACTGCTTTCCCACCAGTCACTGCTAATTCTCCCCACTTTATCCCTCTAGGTCTCGTCTGCACAAAGTTGTTTGCAGGTTGTCTTCTCTGTTACACTGGGAGCTCCCTGAGAGCAAAGACTGGTTTTTGCCTCTTTTTGAGTCCTCGGTGCTTAGCACAGTGCCTGGCACATAGCAGGTGCTTCATAAATTCTTCCTGACTGCCTGACTGCTAAAAGGATAAAATGAGACTTTGCAAACCTTCAAAGCCCATACAAATGTGAACTATTATTATTAGAGATGGAAAGAGACCATGGAAACCATCAAATTCAACTCTCTCATTTTACAAATGACTCAACTGAGGCCCGGGTTAGGTAGTTTGAGTGCCCTTCACAAGATCACACAGGTAAAGTGAAAAGGTAGCCAAATGGTACGGTATGTAGAGCACTAGACCTGAAGTCATAAAGCCCTGAGTTCAAATCCAGCCTCACACCTTCTGCTGTGTGAACCTGGGTAAGAAACTGCCTGCCTCAGTTTCCTCACCTGTAAAATGGAGGTAATAATAGGGCCTACCTCCCAGGGCTGCTATGAAAATAACATGAGCTTCCTGTAAAGCACTATGTAAATGTATCTATTATTATTATTATTCAAAAGTTTAGAGGTTCATAAACTTTAGAACTGGAAGGGAGGCCATCTGGTCCGATGTCTTAATGTACAGAGAAGGAAAGATGGGCCCAATGTGTCAGGAGGCAGGATGTGAAGCCAGGCCCCTCTTCTCTGCTTCATTTTGAACAAAAATCTCCTCTAACAGCAGGTGCTGTTATCTCAGCAAAGTTCAGCACAACCAAAGAAGCTGGACAGTTCCTTAGAGTTTGTTTCCATGAGATGATGCAACTGCTCTGAACTTTCAGAGACAAGTACATAATTAAATCTGCTACTTCCCCTTTAAGTGGTTTGGTGTAAACTAACTGATCTTAAGAACTGGCAGCTGCCAGAGGGAGCAAGGTAAGGCATCAAGAAAAATGGAGAAATAAAGGTAACGTAAGATTTCTCTCAATGGACATTTCTTGCAAGGGCATCAAACACTACCACAGTCATTTCGCTGGTCTCTCTGCACCACGCAGCTCCATTCCAAATGACTACCAGCTAAAATAGCCTGTATCTCCACGTGCTTCCATCTGATCGGCCATGGTGCCAGGGAATGATTAATCCCACCATCTATCACGCTATTAACAAACAGCTAATTTTCTTTACTTAGCCTCTTTCAGGTACTGGGGAAAGGGAGTATATTAGGAATGATCCAACTGTTTCATGTAAAAAGGTAACTGTGGTCGCAGAGCTTTTAAGCACACATTTCGTACGCATTTTTAACATGTCATCTCAATTCCCGTGCCAAAAACCGCCCACTTATGGTACAGTCTTAGTCATCTCCAACTAAGCCACTGGGATGTCAGCTTTGCACAGTCCTAGAAAGGTTCCTTCACGTTACCAATTACGGCTTTTCCCCAACAATTTACCCGAGGTGGCTGAGTCACCTGTACCGGGGACAAATCAAACCCCTAAAGAGAAGGAAATGGGAAAGAGCCGACTGTGTGACAGGAGGGTCTCTACCAGCCCTACAAATTACTTCCACGTTTCACTGGGTCCAGGGAAGTCCGGTCTGCACGCAAACTGGACACTTTCAGAGAAGAGATAAGAGAACTATATTGCACAGGTAAGGCAGTGTGCTGGTATTCACCAAGTGTGTTTCTTCGCTCTCACCCAAGCCATGGACGTAGATGCCACACTCTTAAGCACTATTTTTGCCTTTGCCTTTATAAGCCAATTGACTGTGCGACACCATAATTTCAGAATCCAAGGATTCCAGAGAACTTTCTTCCCTTTTCTTCCAGTCTGTCTTTTTCACATTACTGCAGGTATCCTAATGCACTAGTCCTAGATTCTCAAATCCTCTCAGAAAAGCTTAAGTTAGCCCGCGGTCAGCTGTGAGAGCCTCGACATAAACTTCACAAAGCAGCTGGGACCAAGCGACCAGGGCACCAAGAGTGAAGTTTCTCAGGCTGCCGTGCCTGTCTATCGGTGCAGATCCGTCATCTCGTGGGCAGGCGGGAAGCCCCCTCTGCCCACGCCGGGAGCCAGGCCCCGGGTCAGGTAACTTTCAGGCTTCCCAGGCTGCCCAGCGCCCTGGGATTCAACAGCTTCCCAAAGTCCCCCGCCTCAAAGGAACCCACTCCCCAGCGACCTCGGCTCTCTCCACACAGTCTCCAGCTCCGGGCCCACAAACCGCCCCAAAACCCGAGTCTGAAGGCGGAAGACCGGACTTCAGGCCCGGGCCCCAGGGTGGCTGGGTCTGGGCCAGGACTCAGACCACCGAGGCTCGCCCTCTGCCAAGGCACGTGGTGCCCGCCCGCGCAGCTGGGAGCCGGGTGGCACCGAGCCCCCCCCCCCCGGGGCTGACCATTACCTTGCCCGTCTTGTGGTCGAACCAGACGAGCGCGTGGTTCCTGGACAGCACCTTGCAGTCGAAGGTGGCGTTGTTCTGGGCCGGCCGGCAGCGGGCCACCGAGCGCCCGATCTTGATGGGCTCGTCCAGGTAGACATGGCGCTCCTGGAACGGGTGAGAGTTGGGGCGGCAAGTGAAGATGGCCAGGGCCGAAGGCATCGAGGACAACTCGGGGAGCCCGCTCCAGCCAGGCCCGGGTCCGAAGAGGAGCTCCTCCTGAGCCACGCCAGCCACGCCACGCGCGTCCCCTCCCACCCCCCCCCGAAGCAGGGTCGATCAGAGCCCAGGCAGCATCAGCCCCGAGCGCACGCCGGGGTCGCCGTCGGTCACCACCGTGGGAGCGGTCCGGGCATGGCCGGGGTGCGGGGCCCCGCAGCAGGCGCAGCGGCAGGAGCGCGCGTGGGGGGCGCCCCTCACTCCATCCCCCTGGGGCTCAGCACCCAGGGGCTCCAACCGCATTGGAGGGGGCGTCCCGCATCCACCCGCGGCCGCTCCGGGAGTCACTCGAGCCCGCGGGGACACGCGGCGGGACCGGGTCTCGCGCGGCGGCAGTGACCCTGCCGCATGGAGCGGGAGCCCCCTCCCCGTGGGCTGCCTCGCTCGCTCGCCCGTGGGCTCCTCGCTCGCTCGTCCCAACCGCGCTCGCGCTAGCGGGGACCGCGCATCGCGCGTCGGAGGCGGCCCGGGCTGGGCTTCCCGCGTGTCCGCGGCGGCGCGTGGGGGGCCGAGGACGGGGTGGGGGGAGCTGGGCTCGGCGGCTGGCCCCCTCAGTCGCCGCTCCTCCGGGCTCTCTCGCTGCCTCGAACGCTGGCCTGCGGGGCCCTCTCCGGCCGCCCGCCCCGGCTCACGCGGCGCCGCCGCCAAACTTTCCGACCTGCGGGCGACAAGAAACGCGACCAGCAGCGTCAGGCGCCGCCCGCCCCCACCCCCGGGCCCGTCAGGCGCCCCCCGCAGTCCCTCCGGTCCGCCCCGCCCCCGCCCCGGCCCCGGCCCCGGCCCCGACCCCGGCCCCGGCCGCCATAGTGACTCTGACGGAGACCTACCAGCGGGACGGACGGACGGCCGATCGCGGGAGCGCGCACCCTGCACTAGCCCGCCCGCCCGGCCCCTCTCCCGCGCCGTACTCCCAGGCCCACGTGACCGACGCCGCGGGGGCCCTATTGGGTGTGGGCAAAAAGAGGCCGGGGCGGGGCGGGGCGCGGGGTGGACTGCCCGGGCGCCATACTGGTGGGGGTGGGTCGCGCCGAGGCGCAGGCCGCCATGTTGCTTGAGGGCAGCCAAAGCTGGGGAGTGGGGAGTGGGGACCAGGGGGCCGGAGCTTAGCGTGGCGGCGGACGCCTTGGCCCTCTTTCACCTGAAGAGAGGCTGTCTGACAGTGGGGAAAGAAAACTGCGCCTGGGGGATTCACCGTGATGCTTCTCCGGGATGGGAAGCCTCCCACCCAAGGCAAAGCGCATTGGCAGGCATCTTAGCTGTGGGCAAGTCAGCTCTCGCGAGGCTTGAGGAAGTAACGCAGAGAAAAGTCGAACTGAGAGGCGGGGGAGGGAGGAATACTGGTTCCAAAGGACAAATGCTTACTAGCCCCGGAGCTCGGCCCAGCGACTGGGCATGCGCATTTCAGCCTCATCTTCTCGTTACTCCCCTGCCCTTGACCCCTCCCCCTCCCTCTCTGCTCCGTCGTAAGCACCTGTGGCTGGGCGTTCTGGCACTTAACACCTTCTCCTCCCCCGGTCCCTCCCCTCCCCCGTATCCTTATGCTGAGAGTTCAAATCCAGACGCTGCCACTGGGTAATTTTATGACCTTCCTCCAATTATTATATGCATTTATGTATAACGAATATAAATATATGTGATATAAAAATAAATGTATGATAAATTAGAACAAGGCCATAAAATGTATGCATATGTATATATATGTATGCGTGTATATGTGTAGATAGATATAATTTGTGCCTAGTTTTTTGCATGTTACCTTCCCGAATTAGACTGTAAGCTCCTGAGGGCAGCACTCATATTTGTCTCTCGGTGTCTCTCAAACTTAGCACCTTGCCTAGAACTCAGTAGGTACTCAATGTATGTTTATCAACTACTGCAAGTCACTTTCCCTCTGTGGGCCTCAGTTACCTGCTCTAAAAGGAGTTAAGTGGACCGGATGACATCTAAGGTCCCTTCCAACCATAAACCAATGGCTTTTAGTAGAGAGAGATTTAGAGATAAGGAAGGCCAAACTCCTGCCTGCTCTTCCTTACCCTCTTCCCCATTCCCACTTTACAAACAAGGAAAGGGTGGTCCAGACACTACATTTCAATATTAAATTGTAAACATCATAAATTGTAAAAAAAAAACCTGTAAAAGTTTATTATCATTATTATTGTCATTATATGAAAAGTTGGGTCTTGGAATCCCAAGTGGACTCCCAGGTGAACTGAAAAAGGAGTTCAAAAAATCTTAAAGTCATCTCTAAGTGAGAAGGAAGAAGGCTTGGGAGAGAGGCAAGGGGCTGGATATGTTTAGCAGGCAAGGAAATGGTGAGTTTTCTCCTTTCCTACCATTTTTGTTTCTGTGATCTCAGGGTAAAAGCTTTGAATTTGGAAGCAGAAGTCAGTGATGTCCAACTCTTTGTGACCCCATGTCAGGTTTTCTTGGCAAAAATACTGGAGTGGTTTGCCATTTTCTTCTCCAGTTCATTTTACAGATGAGGAAACTGAGGCAAGCAGGGTGAAGTGATTTGCTTAGGGTTACCCAGCTGGGAAGTATCTGAGGCTGAATTTGAACTCAGGAAGATGAGTCTTCCTGACTCCAGGGCTGGTGCTCTATCTCCTGGCCACTACCACTTAACTGCCCTTATTTTACTGATGGGGAAGCTGAGGCCCCAGAGATGAAAGGACTTGCCCAAGGTCACACAGGTTGTAAGAGTCAGAAAAGGGATTTGAATCCAGTCCCTCTGGGGTCTTTCCACTTTCCTTTTTATAGTTGTCAGCTCTAGATTATCTTCCTTCTGGCTAAAGGCCTTTCCCTTCTAGTAAGACAGCAAGAAGTCTTCTGGTATGGTTGGGTGTTTAACCAGAAACTGCTAAAATATATAGCTCTCAAGAGGAGAGGGGACCCAGAACTGCTAGTTACAAACAGCTGCATTTCCAGCACCACATAATTATACATTTTAATATCTAATACTAAGGGGGAGCTGGGTGGCCCAGTGAATAGAGAACTGGAGTCAGGAAGACTTGAGTTCAAATGTGGCCTCAGACACTTACTAGCTGTGATATCCTGGGCAACTCACTTAACCCTGTTTGCTTCAGTTTCCTCATCTGTAAAGTGAACTGGAGAAGTAAATGGGCAAACCACTCCAGTATCTTTGCCAAGAAAATCCCAAATAGAGCCACCAAGAATCAGACCTGACTGAAACAACTTTGTTTTGTTTGGTTTTTTAAATGCTTCTTTAATGAATAGAATAATTGCAAAGGGAGCAAAATTGTTTAGAAGTTGCCTTATATTCAACAAATCCCTTAAAGCCTCATTTCAATCCTCTCTCCCCTTATAGGGGGTTGACTTCCCAAAAGGCTGCACCTGCTGGCACAATCCAAGGAGGCCATTTAAGGGATTCCACATTTATATGTATGCACCCCAAAAAAAAATACTTGGAACAGCCAATAATCTATTGAAAGTCTCTCCACACTTCAGTCAAAGAAACCTGAATAAGCATTCCAGGCAGAGAATCTCAGGCCTGCTATTTTAGGCAACGAGAAAGTAGAAGGAGTTTTGACTTAGGACTCAGAAGAGCCGGTTGCCATTATGAACTCCTCATTAGACGGTGAGCTCCTAGAGAAAAAGGACTGGTTTTTGCCCTTTTTTGTATCCAAAGTACTTAGCACAGTGCCTGGCACGTAGAAGGTGCTTAATAAATACTAGTTGACTTGCCACTAGTTTGCCTGATCCTGCCCCAGTAAATCCATATGGCTAAGACTCAGTTTCCTTCTTTGCAAAATGGAGATAATAAAACAATGTATATCTCACAAGGGCTCTGAGGACATTTTGTAAACTTTAAAGCACTACATACATGTTACATCAAGGTCTCTGGACATTCCTTTGCCTAATTGTATATACTATCCATACATGCACAATTGTAATTGTCCAAAAACAACCCTATAGGATTTGAGAAATCGAGATAGTTATAAAGTAGCCTTCTTTTTCTTGGAAGGATGTCAATTTACCACTTCTCTAGCCCAAATCATGGCTATGATTCAGTCTTGGAAGAACAAACAGAAATTTGCAACATTCTTATTAAAAACCAAACAAACAAACCCACCAATGCGAAGACCGTGAATAATTCTGAGGAATTCCAAGGCATAACAAAGAACACTTCTCTAAGTCTGGTTAATGATCAAGCATTGGACTTTCTCACCCTCCACATCTGCCTAGGATATAACAAATTGTGTAATTACCGTGTGTGGGCAATCTAGCTGGTACCAAATATCATGAAGACAAAAATGGAGGATTAGCTCAGGATTAAGTAGAAGTCCAAACTGAAAGCATCCAATGCTTTTAAAGAGAATACCTCTATTGTCTTTGTTAAGACCCAAGCTTGATCCTCCTTCCCCTTGTTCAGAGGTTGTTTCAGTCCTGGGTGGTGTGCAGTGTGTGGAAATACCCCGTCATTGACCAGGTGTCCTGGGTGGAGTAGCAAGACATTCCATAGCCTAGACTCACCTATTTTTGGCCCTCTGGTTTTTCAGGTAATAAAAAGTGCCCCAGGTGGAAACACTGACATGGAGAATTCATGAAGCACCTTTTCTGAGAATCACAGATGTTGAGAACCAGGCGGGAGTTTAGAGAGCCCCAGATTCAGCAGCCTCCAATTGACAAAGAGGAAGACCAGGACTGGACTTGCCCCAAGGGACAGAAAAAACAATCTCTGGGGCAAAGGTGAGTTTAGAATTCAGATCCCCAGCCAGACCTGTGTTCTTTGCACTGCAGCCTGACGTGATGCTTTAAGAAACCCAGTCAGAGAAGCTATAGCTGTATCTACATCTCTAATCCCACAACATTTTGTGATTCCCCCAAATTTCTTATTGTAATACAAGCACCGAAAAGAGACAATCTTTCTGAAGATGCTATTTTGTTCTTTAGAAACCTGAAAGTTGAGTTGTTGTTGTTTTCCTGAATCAGAAAGTTGATTTGTAACTTCGTAGATGTAGAGCTGTAATGGCCTCAGAGGCCATCGAGGTCAGTGATTCTTACACTGTGTTTAAGAACATAGTTAACATAGTTAAAGGTTAACATTTTAAGAAGTGCTGAAGGGGAAGAAAAAGAGAGTGGGAAAAGTTTAAGATGCCCTGATCAAGATCAATCTACTCATTTTACAGATGAGGAAACTGAGGCAGAGTTAAGTGACTTGCCCAAGGTCACATAGCTATTAAGTGTCTCAAGTCTTCCTGACTCCAAGCCCAGTGCTCTATCCCCTACAGCGCCACCTAGCTGCAACTTTTATCTAACTCACTACCAAAACAAATTATACACAGCTAAATCAAATGTGTATTCACCATTATCCTTGTCCTGTCTTCTGTAGTATTTGGCACTATTGACACTGCCTCCTCTAGGACACTCTCTCCTCCCTGGGTTTTCCTGGAAGAGTTCTCGTATCTCTACCTGTCTGTAAGCTCTCTTTTCTCCCACTTTCACCAACGTCCGCCCCTCTTTGGCTTAAGTGGATGGTCTTTGAGCTGGGCTGTGGTTAAAACATTCATCTGACAGCAGCTCAACTGGAAATGGGTCTCCCCGAATTTAACGAGGCTTGTCCTCAGATACACAGCCCATTGCTGGGGCCATACTCCAGCCTGGTAGCACCTGCCACAGTTTGAACTTTGCTGGACTGGCCTACAGGAAACCAAGGTCACCCAGGTACAGGAAGAGGCCTCAAAAGAGGACCTCAGTGGAGGCAAGAGTGAATTGAACTAGCCAGTGATAGTCACACAGTGGGATCTGTTGAATTGTTTTTGATTAAAATCAAATAAAATCAAATGCTAAGTGTGAAGCACTTAGCACAGTGCATACCACACAGCAGGCCTTAATAAATGCTTGTTACATTCACCCAATAGATCATTAATCAATAAACATTTAGTAAGAGCATATTATGTGCCAGATACCATGCTAAGAGGTGAGAAAAATATATTTAAAAAAAAGTCCCTGCCCTCAGAGATCTTACAGTCTATTGAGGGAAGACTATACAGAAAAGGAAGCAGAAAGATGGAGGGGGGCGAGGGAGGAGTACTTGGAAAATATCTTAGGGAGCATGATAGAGAAATCAGAGCCCGAAGTAGGGAAGCCAGGTGACATGAGGAGATGTTCTGAGCTGAGTACCCTCCTCAAATGGAGGATTTGGAACTCGTGGCTCCATCCTCCCATCAGAGGGACACAGTCCCAAGGCTGATGGGATCTTGGAGGCTTTACCAATAATGAGCTTTTCCACAGCCAAGACGGAGCTTTCCTTGATAAGGACACGAGCAGATTGTGCCTGTGGTAACTGGTTGTTACTAAGCCCTCAGCCTTAATATTTTAATAATAATGACTGTATATATATATATATATATATATATATATACATATATATATA